ATTTATCAAAATTATTAAAAGAAACAATTTATCTTTATTTATCTTTGTCGTATAAAATGAAAATACAATAAGTCAGAAAAATTATTTTAGATTTTCAGTTAAAATAGCTTCGAGTGCACATATTTATATTAATATAAATATGTATAATTTCATTTGAATTCTGGATTCGCACATTAAGACGAGAATCAAAGGAAAATATATACGAAAAAAAATCGTTCATCTGTCCTAATCGAACAGGTCGACATTTTCTATATCGAATACAGCGATCAGGCCGTCAAAGTTTTGCTGGACCAATCGAGTCGCAGACGTCTCTGTAAAATATCGAAAGGCGGTCCAATTATTGCGTTGGGGGTTATTGCATGGCCAGTTGTATCGATTATCGACGATTGTTTCATCGCTTGATTCTCCCTTCTTTTTTTATCCCCTTCGTCGCTTTTTTGCCGACCTTCCGGAGGATCTTCAAAGTATCGAGAGGGCCAGCGTTCGATGATTCTCCTTTTTTCCCCCTATTCTCAGCGTCTGGCATTTGCATCGAAATGAAAACATCCCTATTTGATGGCCGATCTCCATCACCGGAGACCTTTTGTCTTTGCGCGGCCAACGAATGGACGTTCCTTGTACCATGAATTTGTACACATCCGCTATTTGCGGCGTATTTGCGTGAACCTGCTCGTTTTCAGTATACTGTTCGCTCGGGACTTCACGACTGGCGTCTTGAGGACGAAATTAAGCAGCTTCGGGCTCTTCGCGAGTTTTCGGATGGTAATGCTGGTGTGCGAAATGGTAAACAGTCCCCGATGAAACGCTATTTTCTGACGCAATAGTACATTTCGTTCTAGACTTTCGTTTAGACCAGGAATTCGCGTTCGGGATAAAATTTCATAATACGCTGTAAAGAATGATTACGAGAGAAATAATCTTCAGTATCTTTTTTATTAGCTTATTTCCTCAAATCGTATTCGGTGTTCATTTCTTTTCGCAAACAACCTCTCGTTAGGAAGAAAACGTAACGGAAGGCAGCATAAAATAGTAATTCTTAATTATAAGTGGGAGCTTTATAAGGCATGAAACGCAGCTACTTATTTTTAATGAAATATAAATTTCGAGCAACGAAATTGAAAAAAAATAGATTGTGCATACAGTAAAGATAATTGATCGAAAATGTAAAATTTTGTGTTTACGAAAGAATATGTGTTCATACTGATTCTAGTTTATACAATAATAGAATGACATTAATACATTGCAAATTCTTTGCTATGCAATTAGCATTGTTTCTCTCTTCTTCTTAAATCCCTTACTGTATAACAGATGTTTTAAAAACCCTTTTGTCCAAAAATTTATTGAATTCCCTGAATCGGTGATATTATTGCAAGTATTTACAGACATAAGTCAGATCATTGTTTGGCTTGCTTCTTAATTCCCCAAATACGTAACATAACAAATGTGTTCGGCTTTAGGCGACAATTTATCGAAGGAATCAGGTTAATAAATCGACTAGATGTGGAATGGTACACGTCGGCGAATCAATTAATAACNTGGATTTTAGCAAAAATGAGTAGCAGAAATATAAAATTTCTTAAATGCATCATCTGGTTTAAAGTATTCATAAATAAATAAAATAAATAAATTTGAGAAGACATAAGAATTCAGTAATATTGCTGCACTATTTTCGATTTATCAAAATTATTAAAAGAAACAATTTATCTTTATTTATCTTTGTCGTATAAAATGAAAATACAATAA